CTGACTCAGAAATGGTGACATGTAATCAAGTATTGTGACTGTACATTCAAAGCAGGAGTTGAACATGTGACACTAGAATGCTGTCCACTTAAAATAAGAATACTGACTGCAGGAAGTCCCATCTATTTACAGTGTTCTAAGCCTTGTGTGGGCCTAAAAGTCTGGTGATTCCCAGAGAAGCAGAGGTACTCTGTTTCCTGTCAGAGACCTTTTCTTGTTGCTCGCCATTCCCAGTTTAAGGAAAAGGAGATTGATCCTGAAAATTAAACACAGGAAGACTACATTTTACATTAATCTAAGAGCTGATTCCGTTTCTATGACGACAGAGAGGAGCATGGAAATAGTGATAAAGTTGACAATAGATACCATTCAACATGCCTGATACCTGTTGCCTATAATGCTTTATAACAAGCCAAGCTCAGCACATATGAATGAGTGGAGAACAGACACAGAACTAAGTAAAATAGTAACATCAAATGCACACCAGAGTGGGGAAACGGTGTCCAGGAGACGTCTATGCTTTTGATAGGATATAAAAGCTTAGCGTTACTCTACCCAAGCAAGAAGGCAAAATTGCATCTTTGGAGATATTAGCAGGTGCAGACAACCAAAAATGGAGTAACTGTTCAGAAACTGGATTGTTGTTTTTTTTTTTTTTTTCATCAGCACCACAGTGATGGTCTCGAGATTCTTTGTTGCAATAGCTCATGAGATCGTGTATTACTCAACAATTAACAAGACACCAGTATCCTTCCATGCAGTTGCCTAAGTTTCTTTTCCTACTGCCCTTTCTCAACAAGCCTACCTTCAATCTTTGGCTCATCCCAGACAAAGATTTGTGGTTGAGGTCCAATTTGGGAGTGAATTTTCAGCTACTGGCCTTCCATGCTCTTTGGTTTTAGTCTGCATCAGTGGAGACAGGTTCTCGTTCTCTCTCTCTCTCTCTCTCTCTCTCTCTCTCTCTCTCTCTCTCTCTCTCTCTCTCTCTGTGTGTGTGTGTGTGTGTGTGTGTGTGTGTGTGTAGGCCACCTGTGCTTCCTTCGAGAAGCGACCAAGGACTTCACAAAGAACTAGGAACGGCAGCATAAGGCGTTCTTCACCAGAGGCATGCTTTTCTGACTCTCAAGGGCATCTCTAGCACTTGTGTTTCCTGAGGCATCTTGGAGATGATCCTGGGCAAGCGTCAACACCTTTAGACACCTTCTTCCTAGGGCCCCTTTAGCAGCTGAGATAATGGGATGAGAGATGAAGTTTAGTGAGGGAGAATCCTTGGAGTGTAAGTCTCCACCTCTCCCAGAGCAGGAAAGGAGTGGGAAAAGAAGACCCACTGTGCTTTGAAGAGACCAGGTTCTTCTTCCTTTTCAGCACAAGGTGGCGCCACATTGGTATTAACCTTCCAAGTGCCAGCAAGCCAGAAAATGAGCCTGGAACTCTTGACTCTTAATTCAGTGCCTTTCCCACCAGGCTGCTGTGCTTTCTCACTGCCCTGGCTCTCCTCACCCCTTCACTAGAGGCAGGAAAATGTCCTTGCTCAGCTCCACCAAGGCAGCCTATAGCCTAGGCATCCAGGAGACCCAAGCATGGGGCTGATGCTGAAGTTGCAGATTTCGAGATGGGTAAGACAAACATCGGCCAAAGGGTTTTGAAAGCATCCATGCCATAATTTCTGGTCTTTGAAGTTGCAGAGGAATTTTTTGCTGCTGCCTCTGGGGAAGCTAAAGGAAATGTCACAGAATCAGCTTAGTGAGTTGTTTCAATGGAAACTTCATCCAAGCCGATAATAAATAGGAGTTACATAACTCAGCAGGTCACAGCACTAACTAAGCCCATTATAGGCCATCAATCCACATCTATTTCCTGGCTTTTCTAGCTGCTGCTGGAAAAGAAAGGAGGGGGTAAGGATTAGAGGGAGAACATCTGTGTGCCCAGAATAAACCTCCCAGGCTGCACTCCCCTCTCCTCTCTATACTCCCTCCTCAGCTTACTCCCAGGGACCTGCTAGTCACTGCACTTGCCACCAGGAAGCTCATGAACCCCTCCGAAGTTGTTTTGTGTGGCCACTGCTTTAGCCTGGTATTTCTCTCTGAGCCTTGGTTTTCAGTTCTAAAATACAACAAAAACCTTTGCCCCAAGCAACTCTGTTTGGCTCTTCCCTTGTGTTACCAGCGTGGTCTAGGACTGTCAGCTGGTGGGGTCTGCACTGCGGTGCTGGGTCAGATAGGTTCTAGGATAGCGTATGTGTGTTTGGGGTGGGGGGTGTTCACCATCTGTGACCAGTGTTAGTTACGTATTAGTGGATCTTCCTAAGGAGAAAGACAGAGCAGATATCACTGAGGGCTGGGGCGAGTGAGGTCTGACTGTCAGCCCCATGGAGGGAGACCAGCTTGACCAACACTCCCCGTCCAGGATGCTGACAGAAAAGGGTCAGAGGGTGGAGGCTATGTGGAGTACGCAGGAAGTTGCAGAGCCCATGGTGAGGCACTTGCAGCCTCCCTGAGGTCTTCTCACAGTCCAGCCAAATGAGAGCTTGTCTGGGCCACACCTCTATCTAAAGCAGGCACAGGCCTGAAGGATGGAGCATCTCAACAGCAGTGACTGCCAGCCTCAAGCTCAGAGTTTAATGCTTCAGAGCATTCACACGTGTTCCGGAGGGTGGATATGAGTGCCCCAAACTCTAGCCGAAGTGCCCCTAGGGAAATAGCATCCCCATGTTTAAAGTACCACCCTGCACTGGCCCCTGTGCGGCAGTGCAGACCCCACCAGCTGACAGCCCTACACCACGCTGATAATGCAAGGGAAGAGCCAGGCAAAGTCGCTTGGGGCAAAGGAAAGCTGGGGAGGGGCTGGGTTAGCCAGAGAGTTGAGGGTCATGCAAAGACCCCTTTCAAGCAGCAGTCAGGTTCCCAGCCCTTCTTTGGGGGTCCTGGCCCAGTACTGCAGTGGCAGGAACCCCTCGGGCAGGAAGGCCAGGCCATCGCTGTCCCTCCCCAACTCTGGGGCTCTATAGTTAGAAGACTGCTAGACAGTGAGGGTGACCCGCTAGGTGGAACACTGGGACAGGCTGGCGGCCATGGCCCCTCACACACAGTGGAAGCAAAGGTAAAAATTGAATGCCATGGAGCAGGGAGGGATTTCCAGGAGATGGGCATGATCCCAAAAAGGGGTGACCCCTGAGGCAAGCGGTAGCTTTTCTGTATTCCCAGATCCCTCAGAGCCTCACCTGCACTTAGGAACTCAGCGGGCTCCTTCTTCCTCCAGGGCTGGGCTCTGCCATCATTGCTGCATCTTTTGGAAAACTACCTGCCTGGGCTTCTCAGAGGCTACAGCGGGGGGTAGTGGGGGGGTGAGGGGGGGTGGGGGGGTGTCCAGAGCCAGGCCCAGTGGTGCCACTCTCCAATAGCTTGACCATCCCCATGATGGGGAAGGTGGTGTCCTCTATTAAGTTGAGGCAGAGGGTGGGCATGTTTGTGTGTCCCCCGCCCCACAAGGTAAGCAGTGCCAGAGTGGAGTCTTAGAGTCACTTGCTGTCAGCTGCCTCGAGCAGATACCTGGATAATGTGAGATGCTCTGATAGCAGAGCTGTATGAGCCAGCCTGGCAGCTGGGGTCAGCCGGAATTCCATTTGGGGACACTAGCCAGTCCCAGGGAAAAGACAGTGGTTATTATATAGGCACGGTGTTTATAGAGGCTGAAGTGCCTCTGCTCCTCAGCAAGTCCGTCTCTCCTGGGGTTGAAGGTTGGTTCTGAAGAGAGCTGAGGGAGCTCCTCACTGTCTCGTCTTTCCCCTCATGAAGGACGACATGCAGATCCAGCGGACGCACGGCTCAAGAAATGGGAATGTGAGTACACAGGCCTGGGTGTCCTCCTATTTATCCTTGTTGAAAGAGTTGAGAAGTCAGCATGGACTATTCTAGAACTTCCCTAGGCTGGGCAGAGGGGCAAGAACACCAGGATCATTACAAAGTCTGTGAAGGTCAGGTCTGTGCCCATTGGCTGGTTGTGCTGTGTCCTGGTCTGCCCTGAGCGCTAACAGGCTGCATAACAATGTTCTTGTCCTGACCCACTAAAAACAGCTAGCAGTACCCACTCCCCAGTTGTGACAACAGAAACTGTCTGTAGATGCTACTGAATGTTCCCTGGAAACAGAAGCAGCCATCCATTTGAGAACCATGGTCTTAGAAGGCAGGTGACCAAGGACTCGAGGATGGCCCATCCTCTTCATTCTAAAAGTCTTTCTACGCCATGTTCTTGCTGTGGCCTCTTGGGGATAAAAGACCCCTTTGGGTATCTGGTAATGATTATGACCCTCTTCCCAGGATGTGGCTCTTACTATTCATTTGAAGGGAACGTGTGGAATCCAGGTCCTTATCCCCAGGGTGAATGAAAGGAACATCTGCCCACAGGGAAACAGGACTAGATAGCAGTAAGCTGGGTCATCCAGCTCCTGACCCTAAGAATTCCATGGACACTGGGGTAGGAGTGACAGGGAAGAGGCAGCAGGGTCACAGGAGGAGACCCCTACCCTTTTGGACGGCTGACACAAGGCCATCCCCTCAGGCAACTGGCTGTGTGCTCAGCCTCACTTAGAACCTCGCAGATGGGCTGCCTTGACTCAGACTGCTGTATGTGACCTGTGGTGGTCACATCTCAGAATTACTTCCTATAGCTAAGTGACCTCAATACCTGCCAGGTGAACCTGCCCCTGAAGCGGGATGAACGCAGAGGCAGCCTCTCGTTCTGGGTTCTGGGATGGGATGATGGCGGCGGCGGGAAAAACACTAAAACTAGCAGGAATTTCCAAGGGCTTGTGGCTAGCTCTGCAGTGTGTTGTAAAGACACTTAGTATTCAGCACCCCTGTTAGTTCCTACCCTGGCTCTCTGGGTCTTATTTGTAAAACGGAGGCTTTGGAGGACATGATGTGTAAAATTCTCCTTTGTCTAGGAACTTCCATGATAGGGCTTCGGGGTACTTTCTGTCCCTTGAGCCACACATCATCCTATGAAATGATTATTCTCACTAGGTGATAGCCGAGAAAGCTGAGACTCGCCCCAAGACACAGTCAGCAGGTGTTGGGTCACGTGATCAGGCCTGGCCTCTGGGTGGTGCTGTTGAGCACACCAGCCGCTCCGCAAAAGGCTGACTAGCTGAAGATGGAGGGGCAGGGCAGGTGCCCAGTCCAGAGAGGAGGGGTTGACGATGACAAGGTTTGGAGCTCCAGGGACTGGGTGGTGGCAGTGCTATTAATGGAAACAGGGAAGTCCGGAGGAGGAGCAGGATTGGAGCCAGGAGATGATGAGTTCATCCACAGCCATGATGACCCTGATCTGCTAACAGGGGGATATTTCAGCTGAGGTCTAGCCACAATTCAATGAGGAAAAATTAAGACCTGGTAAATGTCCCTGACCAAAGCCAAATCCCCAGGCTGCTCTTGCTGTGTCCAAGGTTCCCTGGCCTGGGGCTGAGGCTGCAGTGTTTGAATGGTAACAGCCCAGGCCCAAGTTCAAGTCTAGCATTGACCACTGGGGGTCACCACTGTGCACAGACTGGTAGAGATGCCAAGGCGTGCCCACAGGAGGTCCAACCTAGAAGAGGGTTTGGAGCCGGGATCCCCCTCACAGGAGACAGAGGTCTTTTCCCAAGAGTCTGATTAACCTTCTCCATCGGGTTCTAATGACCTCAGAATCAGGAGGGAAAAGCCACAGAGCCCCCTCATCTCAAGCGCTTTGAGAACAGCTCTCCCAGCTGCCCTGGGGGACACAGTGTTCAGGGCTCTAGTGACCTTGCTGGGAGCAGGATCCCAGCTGTTTCAAGCCTCCACATGTCTCCCCTGACATTTGCGTCAGCAACTCTGCCCTTTGACTTTTCACTCCCCAGAGAGGAGGGTGGAGGCAATTGGGACTAATTATTTGCAGTTCGATTCGGCCAGCAGTTTATTGGGGTTTGGCCTGGCTTTCTGGTCTCCCCCACCCCAGCTTTATGGTCTTGGTCTCTGGGGGAAGCTAAAGAACAGAGGACAGGGGTGGTTCCTCTTGGCCTCCTGGTGTTGAGAGCCCTGTGGGAAGGTACGCTTGTAAAAGGGCTTGGAGAGGTGTCCCCACGCTCACGCCCAGCTCAAACTCTGCCCCCACCCCCTTGAGCCAGCCTCCTGCTGTGCTCGGACTTGTTGGGACATGTCCCCTAGTGGGCTGGGGCCAGGAGAGGGGATGCCAGTCTCCTGGCTGCTTGCCCAAGCTGGGGGGCAGGGGGGGGAGGGCTCAGAAAAGCTGGGGGTGGGGCAGGCACCGTGGAGTCCTTGGGGCTCCCCGGGCCCTGGGCCCATGAGGTATCTGGTTCCCTCTATATTTGGCCTTGACATTACTGACATGCCCTCTCAGAGAGGCAGCCAGCCAACCGTACCCATGATGTCTCCTTGCAGGGTCTGGATTATTTGAGGGCTCTGGGGGAGGCAGCCACAGCCGAGGAGGGCTGAGAGGTTTAAGGGAACATTTCCTCCCAGCTCCCAGTCAGAAAGGAGTCAAGGGTAGATGGCATGGAGAACTGGCCCTGAAACTTTTCTCAGAATTCCCAGTACACTTACTAGAATGTTCCTTTTGCTCAGGTTCCCCAAGGAAGCCTAGGCTCTGCAGTGGCAGGGGTGAGGCAGGGTATGATCCCATTCCCTTCCCTTAGGGCCTAGGAGAAGTTTTCTAGCTATCCATTCCTCAACCAAAAACTAGATCTCTTTATGCAGGAGGCACCTGTAAACCCAAAACTGGGGGAACTGCGACAGGAGGATCACAAGGGCCAGGCCAGCCGGTGCCACCTAATGAGACTGTCTCAGAAAAATTAATGAAAGTGGGGACCCCCCCTCCACATACATAAAACAGCTTCCTCCATTATAGGTTTACCGAGAGCCCCTGGAGGGACGGGTGGCTTGTAGGTCCGCAGTGTTTGCAGTTTCTCTGATCACTATCTCCACCAGCAGCACCAGCCTTCATTTTGCTGGGTGCAGAGAGTGTCCCACTCTGAGGAAAGTGCCTTTCAGAGCCTGTCTCCATTCGAGAGGATCTCACACCTCCCTATATACTGTCCTTTCCCCTCCAGCTCCAGACAGAGCCACCCATGGCAGCAGCTGGCCCGAGGCACTGTTGGTCGACTCTTGTTCCAGGAAATGCTGGTCCTTCCGCTCCTTGGCCGGAGCTCAGCGCCAACCACAACCAGCCCTGTTCTGGGAGACCCTCCTGAGCACTCCACGGCCAGCTCTCAGCAGCCCTGGTCACCTTTGCCTCACTGTTAATCCCTCCCTGTGCCACTACCCTTCCCCACCCCGCACAGGACAAGCAGATGGAGGAGGCGTCACATATTCCGGGCTGGAGATGCACAGGGCTGCTGCACGGCTCGCTGTTGGCTGCAGGACCCAGTCTCTTCTCTCGGTCACATGACTGCCATGCTCCCTGAGAAGGCTGCTGCTGTGGCAGGTGTCTGGGTCAGAGAGGCCTCAGCGCCAGCTACTTCCTGGGCCTGTGATCTGAGCCTCATCCAGAACCTCCCTCTTTGCCTTCAGTTTCTTATTCTATAAAATGGGTGTGTGAGTTGCTTGTCACGGGGCTAGGTAAGCACTAACCCAGACAATGTCTGTGAAAGTCCTCTATGAACTACAAAGGATACGTAGGCCAGTCATTATTCTTATGGGAAACTAGTAAAACGTGGAAGAAAGAACACCCCCAAAAGCTGGTCTCAGCTTGTGGGTACAAAGGCCGGTTTACACCCACCAGGTCTGTGATCTGCTGTCCCACCAACCCTGCTGAGGAACCAGTCTGTGCCAGCAGTCAGTGAAGCCTTGGCTGGAAAAGAGCAGTCTGCTGTAGAAGGCTGCCTCTGGCCTGGGGTAGGGGGGCGCCCACGATTCTATTTACGGGGATGGGGGAATACTGCTGTTGATGTTGACTGCCTGCTCCCCAAATAGAAGAAAATATGTGCAGGCACTCCCCAAGAAGGAGCTCCTTTGGGGGGACCTGAGAGCCTCATGCCTAGGGGTTCAGAGAAGGCCTGTAGCCCACACACAGCAGGCCTTCAGTCTTTAGTGGCTAAATGCCCCTGTGTGGCGCAGCAGGGAACGTGCTACCCCCCCCATCCCCAGTGAGCCTCAGTAAGCCTCGGTTTCCTTATCTGAAAAGTGGAGCAGGTGTCCTTACTCAGGATGGCTGGTGTGCAGTGGGGGGAGGCCCCCTGCTCTGCCCCTAGGAGGCCCCAGGAAGGGAACTGAGGCCACGCTGCCTCTCCCTGTCTGGAAAGGAACAGCAGCCTTGGCCTTGACCAGTGGCCAAGGGGGCAGGTTTCCTGGCCCAGGCAGGCTCCAGCTCCCCGCCCCCTCAGCCAGCTGCTCTGCAGCCAGCTGTCATGAAGTCATTGGCACCTTCCCAGCCTGCTGGGCCGGCCGGCCGGCGGCATCCCCCTTCTCTCTCTTGCCCCGCCCCTCCCCAGTGCTGACATCCCATTTGGCAAAAAAAGTCGGAAAAGCCGCTGACTCTTCCAGACCCTGAGTTCATTGACTGGTCAGGGCCCACTTGCCACACACTGGTCATGAGGGAGAGGCCCTCGAAGGGCCTGAAGCCCCCAGCCCCACCTGCCAAAACACTCCTGTAACTCTTGCCCGTACCCTACACTCTGACACTATTACCCATACTCTCTTCCTTGCACCCCCACAAAGATCCAAAACACAGCCCCCCCCCCCCCCCCCCCCCCCCCGTGCACAGCACCTCCTACAAAGGACACACCCCAGTCTTCATACTGTGCAATGATTTCTTGGCCACCCATGGCCACTCCAGCCCCTGGTGCACCTCTGATCTGTCCCTTGAACTTCACTAGATCGAAAGACACATGCAGGCTGAGCCAGAGGGGGATGGGGGATGGAGTCGTGGGGGTGGGGTGGGGATGTGGGGCGGTGGGTGGTGGTGGTCCTCTAGTCTAGAAGTGGGGTGGGGATGTGGGGCGGTGGGTGGTGGTAGTCCTCTAGTCTAGAAGGCGGCTGGGCCCCAGGAACAGGCAGCAGAAGCTGAGACTGTTCTTCACAATCAGTTAATGCCTTCCCTGCCCACTGGTGGAAACGGGCCTTGAGAGGATAAGCAGGGAGGGTTAAGTCCCACAGCTGAAGTCCTGTCAGTGTTTCAGGGTGTGCAAGACTGTGGCAGAGGCTGCATGTGGCGCCCTAGTCCTTAACCACTCAGGCAGACCAAATGAGTTTGAGGCCAGCCTGGTCTACATGGTGTTCCAAGCCAGCCAAAGCCTTATAGTGAGATACAGTCTCAACAGAACAAAACTGTACCCAGTCCTCCTCCTACCACACTGAGCCCAAGCCTCTCAAAGGGCAGAACCAGCTGCCCCTGACCTGTCCACAGCTTTCTCCAGGTCCATCACCCAGATGGGCACTGGGTGAGACTTTCGCCCTCTGTGCTGGGGGCAAGGTCATTGGAAGCTATCCTGGGGGAGGCCCTGCTACGGAGCCACAGCCTTCGCTGGCTTAGAATGTGATGCTGAGCTTGGCCGTGTGTGTCCTTGGCAAATAAATACTCAGCCTCCCTCCTGCCCCTCGGTGCCCCTCCTCCCTGTCTTGGGGTCCACCTCCAGGTCTCACACATCCCTTCTGCCACTGCCCCGCCTTAGGCTTCTCTGTGGACTTTCCACTGACAGCCCCACAGGCAATAACTTCTCCTGGGAGGTGCCTAGAGACCCAACAAAACTCCTGAATGAATGACTAAACTGGGTGGTGTCCCCTGCCCTGCCCTCCCCCAGGCCACTGGTGGGGGTTCTGGGGTCCAGCGGGACACCAACAACCAGGGGAGGTCTGGGAGTTCTGTGTGATGGTTGTGAGCTGGCTCCAATGTGCAGTGTGGTACCAAAGGTCACATCTGCACAGTTACTCCAGACACCAGGACTGCCCGCTTCATTCTCTCTGGCTCAGAGCGGGTACCCATTGGAGCAGACCCAGGCTGGGGAGTCCTATATTGTAAATAAAACTGCTGCCCAGAATAGTCCAGAACATTTGCAACCCAGGAAGCAAAGCAACAGGAGTAACTGCAGCACCTTCCCGCAGGCGCACCCCCCCTCCCCACTCACATGGGACTGGATCCACCCTGAGGAGCCACGGGTCAACATCCTGCTTCCGGCAGGCCCTCCCGGAGACCTCACAGAGGGGTGTTTGTTCGCAGTGGGCGGCGGGAGAGATGCTAATCGCGGTGGCTGGCTGCTCCCGGCTGAAGGTCAGGAGGTAAGGCGACCCACGGTTATAAATAACCGTGCCAGGCTGCTGAGGGCAGCCCGCTGCATCCCCGCCCCTCCCTGGCCGACCGGCCCGGATTGATTTCTGGCCTCCCGGCCACCACGGGAACTTGAACCCCCGAGAACTGACCTTTGGGGGTGGCGCGCAAGGTCAGGCCAGGCTTCCTGGGCTTCCCTGCAACCTAAATTAAGGCAGTTGTACCTTTGTCCCTCCGAAGAGACCAGAAGGTCGTTTTGAGCATGAGGCCCACAAACGCAGGTACCTGTACCCTGCACCCCGCCCCACCAAGCCAGTTCTCGGGCTGCTCCAGTTGAGGCAGGGAGGCCCAGAGTGTCCCAGGCTGGGAGGGACAGCCCAACCTCCAGAGGCCTGATCTGATGCGGAGTTGACCCCAGGGGCATGTGTTCTCTGCTAGATGGAAACAAGAGTCCCCAGTCTCACTTTGGAAAGCTAAGTGGACAGACAGACTCTAGCGACAACAATCTGGCAGCCGGTTGTGCACCAGGAGGTAGACACAACTCCCTACCTCCTTATGCACAGAAAAGGGAGGAAGATTTAACCTGCCGGGTGGGGGTGGGGGTTATACCTTTTTTTTTTTTTTTTTTGGTTTTTCGAGACAGGGTTTCTCTGTGTAGTTTTGGTGCCTGTCCTGGATTTCACTCTGTAGACCAGGCTGGCCTTGAACTCACAAAGATCCACCTAGCTCTGCCTCCCGAGTGCTGTGATTAAAGGCAAGAGCCACCACTGCCAGACATACCTTCTATTTTAAAAAAACAAAAACACACTTTGAGGGAAGGGGGTTAAGCACACAGGCCAACCGTTAGACAAAAGTGTTCAGCTGGGGGACATAACACAAGGTGATCACAGCCATGTGGCCAGTACCCAGACCAAAACACAGCCCTGGGCAGAGGATGCCGGGATAGGGATGTAGCTCACTTGGTCCTTGTCTAGCTTGTGAAGCCCTGAGCTCCATCTCTGGCACCACTGAGAGAGCTTGCCTTTAATCCTAGCACTCAGGAAGTAGAGCCAGTAGAGGATTGGAGTTCAAGGTCATCCTTGGCTACATACAGAATTTGAGGTTGCCTGGACTCATGAAACCCTGGCTCAAAAACAAAAAGCAAGAAGCCATCCCTCAAATCAGCACCCACCAACACCAAAAGCTCATCAAAAAACCCTCCCACTGACAAGTCTGAGGGTGACCCCCATGCAGCCGGCTGGCTCTCCAGCCCTGCAGGCTGCTGTGGCCAGTTTTTCACAAATGTGGCATGGAGTTGCACAGTACCCACTGTGTAGTATGACGTTTCTTGTGCTCAGTGTCCTGTCTGTGAGGTCCAGCCGTGACGTCTCGGGCAGTCCCAGGATACTCAGAGGTCACTTGTCACTTGTGTGCCTGTCATAATTTAGCCACCCATTTGACTGTTGATGGACATTGGGGTGGGTTCCAGTTCCTGGCAACAGTGCAGAGTGTCACTGGGCCCACTCCAGCCTCTGCTCTCAAATCCACAGGACAGACATGTCTCTCTAGCTCAGCTGATACAGGGGTGCTAACCTCTCACCAACACTAGGGCAGAACAGCCCAGTGTTAGTCTTTGGTTTTCCTTCAAAAGAGAGCCTGCCTCCTTTTTTTTTTTTTTTTTTTTTTTCAAATTTTAAATTTTTTTCTTTTTAGCGGAAAGCAGAGAAATGCAAAAAGGAAAGGAAAGTCACCATCACTACTATTTAGAGGAATCTAACGAGTCTCGCCAGCCAGTAGCTGTTTCCTGAATCTCTAGTAGGTCAAACTCAGGACAGAGAAAGCTTGTTTCCCGTCAGGCAGCCTGGAAGCTGGGCAGAGTCTGGCCAGCAATGGCATCTTCCAGGAAGTCGTCAGGCACCCTCAGCATGCTCCATAACCTCCGTGACTGCTCTTTGCCCCTGCAGCCTCCATCTTGCACCCAGGCCCAGATCGCAAGGCTCACCATGCACCTGCAACTCAAGGCAGAGCCAGGCCTTGGGGCAGCCAGCATCCCAGGATTCATAGCTGGTTCTCCAAACAGTTTATTGCCGCTGGGAGAGGGGCAAGTGTGAACGGGTGCATGGGAGGCTATAAGAGTAGAGGTGGGGGCTGCTGCAGTGGGATGGGGTGAGAATCACCTCTCTGGAGGAGAAAGCCTAGAAGGGAGGCCTCGGAGCCTGGCCCTTACCCTCCATCTTAAGGGTTAAGGGGAACTGGGCTTTTTGCTTATTTGCTTATTACAGTGTTAGACATTGAACCTGGGCCTCACCACACAAGGCAAGCACTCTGCCTGTGAGGTTTATGGTCTCAGCTGAGTTACCCAGGCTGGCTTTGAACTTGCTATGCAGGCTGGGTAGGCCTTGAACGTTTGATCCTTCTGCATCAGCTTCTGGGATGCTGGTCTTACTGACCTGTGCCCCCACACCCAGCCACCAATGTGTTTTTCTAGCAAGAACCCTCTGGATGCTTTGGGGCACCCGTGAGAAGAGCAGAGGCCCGGGTTCTAAGCTAGTGGTGCCATGATGGAGGTTTCTGCCAGGTCTGAGGTATGGTTGGCTGAGGTTTGGGGAATTTCTTTCCCATCTTTCATGCAGAAGAGTCCACTTAGGTCTGAGAACTGAGCCAAGTCAGTTAGACTTGAGGAGAATGGAGCCAGGCCTGGGAGCCCTAGGAGGGGAGAGATGTTCATTTGTTCATTCATTCATTCATTCATTCATTCACCCTTTCATCTTTTCACTCAACAAGTGTAGGTGGACCCGCGCTGACACGTGTTTCCCTTAGAGAGAAGGTCTAGCAGGGTACATTTGCATGCCTGAGCACTCCGTGGTCATACAAAGCCCTGCTGGAGTATGAAGCAAAGACTGGCTGTCCTCCAGACTACCTCCCTGCCCTAGTGGCTGAGGTGGGCTCCTTGGCTTAGACTGAGGCTGAGCAGCTCCTACAGGCCTAAAGCCGGTGGACACACGGGATGCCCAGGCCAGCAGTACAGACCTTCAGCCCCACCCTCTCCTCCTCAGGCTGGAGGTCTGTACCAGCTCCCCTCACCTCTCACTGCTCACTCGCCATCTCCACGTGGGTTAATGATGGGCCCCTCAAGTCTGGAATGCTCAGAAGGCCAGTCTCCAACCTACCACGCCTGTAGTCTCCCCCTGCTTGGCTAAGCACAGCCACCTCCTCCTACATAGTCAGGCAGAACTTAGTGCTCTCCATTCAGTGCCCACCCGGGGTCTATGCCAGAAAATGCCCTCAACTCTGCCTTAGCTTGTATTCAGGTGGGTCCAGATGGCTCACACCTGTCATCCCAGCACTTGGAAGGCAGAATCAGAACGGTCATCAAATTCAATGCCAGCCTGGTCCATACAATGAATTCCAGGCTAGCCAGGGTTACATGGCAACAACCTGTCTCAAAAAAGAAAATAATAATAACAAAAAAAGCACATATTTGCATGGAAGCCCTTCTTCTGAAACAAATCTTGTTTAGTTTTAATTATGTCCAGGGGCCCAGTGGCCAGGGGAATTGGATCCGTCAGGAGCTGGAGTTGCAGGCTGTTGTGAGCCCCCTGATGTGGCTGCTGAGACTTGAACTCAAGTCTGCAAGAAGAGTGCATGCTCTTAGCCGCTGAGCCATCCCTCCCGCTGCCCAGGAGCCCCGCTTTGGGCCCGGGAGCCCCGCTTCGGGCCTGGTCCCCGCCGGCCGGCGTTGGCACTCACTGGATGCTTATGATAGCAGCGGCTCTCCTTTCCTTCTGTTCCAGGCTTCATAGCCAGAGTGATTTTATTAAGAAGTGAGGCAGATCGTGCCATTGCCTGGTCCCCCGTCCTTCTGAGGAAAGCCAAGTCTTTTGTGATGGCCTTTTACCAGCTCTCTACCTGCCCCCTACCCCATCTCCTCTACTGCTCATTTGGTTCAGCTACTGGCTTTGTTCTGTGATTACGCAACCCGTGTACCTGCCTCAGGGCCTTTGCACGGCCTCTTCTCTCTTGGAGCCTCCTTCCCCCAAGTAGCTCCATGCTTTGCGCCTCCTCTTCTTCAGTTTTTCGTCGGGGTTCTTATCCAGACAGCCTTCCTTCGTGACCTCCGTGTTAAAAACTAAAGATCACTCTCAGTGCCCGGATCTTGTTTTCCGATAACCATTCTGTAATGAAAGGACTCACGGCTTCTTGGAGAAATGACTGCTTCTTAGATGAGGGTGGGAAATGTGCAGGATGAGCCTGGAGTATCTCACAGCATCAGAAAGGAAGAGCTGGGGGAAGGGCTGGAGACAAGAGCCACCTGAATGTGGGCGTGTTCAACAGTGCTGGAGCATCTGCACAGCACAGGAGGGAGGGCTGGGTTGTATAACCCAGATGTAAAACATCCACCGGCTTGTGACAATAAGTGACTGAAGAAGGCCGTCAGCGGGAGGGAAGAGCCCGGGGGTCGTGTGGCACAGAACGGCAGGGCCTCCTCAGCAGAGGCTTTACCGTGTGTACCAGCCAGGGCCGAGGCCACCAGCAGCGTGGTCAAGTTAGGACTGTGGCCCGAGTCGTAAAGAAAATGGCAAGCCCTTTTGGCACCTGCCCCCCAGGCCTCACACCCCCAGTTTAGTCATGCGAAGAAAGAGCAGGTAAAAACACAAAATTTGAATTGTGTTTCTGGATATTTTGAGACAGGGTTTTGCGTAGCCCTGGCTGACTTTGGACTCACTGTGTAACTGAGGATAGCCTTGAACGTCTGACTCTCCTGCCACTACCTCTGAAATACTGGGGTTCTGGGGGTATTCTACCATCCCCAGCTCCCAGCAGGCAGATTCAGATTTAAGGGCATCTACCAAATACCTGGCCAGGACCCCTCAAAACTACTAGACTCATCAAAAGCATGGGACGTGTGAGACGAGCTTTGGCCAAGAGAAGCCTCCAGAAGGAGGACAGTGAGGTGGAATGCGGTGTGTGGAGGGTCCCGGAACAGAAAGGGACTAGTGGACAAAGGAAGTCTGGGGAAAGGACTGTAGAAGTTTCTATGGATAATAATCACCACGGGTGTGGTGACACTCACCGAAACCCTAACACTTGGGAGGCTGAGGCAGGAGGGTGGTGAGTTTGAGACCAGCTTGGGCTATATAGTCTCTGACTCAAAAGAGAAAAAGTCATTCATGGCAATAAATGAAAGATGTCACTGATGGAGAAACCATGGTGGGGAAGGGCACGGGGAAGTCTTATACTGTGTTCTTAATTTTTCTATGAATCTACAGCTACCCTAAAAGTACATTCTGGTTTTTGTGTATTTGTTTTGAAATCACATTCTCTAAGGTGGGCAAAGTGGAGCATACCAGTAATCCAGCACTCAAGAGGCAGAGACCAGAAGATCAGGAGTTTGAGGCCAGCTCGGGCTACTTGGTAAAAGCCTGTCTCAAAAAAGGTAAACAAGAGCCGGCTAGATGACTCAGAGGGGGAAGCTTTTACAACGGCCTGTCAGGCTGAGGTCCATCCTGGAGCCCTTGGGAAGGTGGACAGAGAGAATGAACTCCACAGAGTTGCCCTCTGACCTTCATGGGCGTACCAAGGAACGGGCATGTTCCCCATATATCGCACACACACACACAATAATGATAAAGAAAACAAATATTTTTAAAGCAAATAAATTTTTTTAAAAAAAAAATCCCATCAGCCGAGCTGCCGTGCCCCTCCATGGCCTTTTCCATTCGTCCCTTTCACCATTTAAACTGCTGTACATTAACCTTAGATATTCTATGACCTGTACCTTCTCCCTAAAGGTTTCTGTCTGTCCACTGCTGTGTGCCCAGAACTTCAGTCAGTCTAACAATAAATATTTGTTGAATGATAAATTTCCACAGATAGTCTGTTAGCTTTTCCAAGTTCCCCCTGTGGCTAAATACATTTTCTATTGTGGTAAAATAAACAGAAGATTGTGTTTCAGTGCTCGGTTCTCTTTGTGAGTTCTGATCGCTTTTCCATGTCACTCTTTTCACTGCCCTTTTCTAGCCTGTGCAGATGTTTGCAGGCCAGCAAATGGTTGAGATTCAAGAGGCAAAGGCTTTGGGGCATTTCTTCCTCTGTGTTGTCTCTGCCAGGCTGCCACGTGGGCAGGAGGGCTGGAGTGATGCCAAGGCCAGTGGAGGCCACTCCTTCCCTCTGACATCAGATCTGTGGGCACTAGATCCTGCTTGGTGGTGAACTGGGTGCGTCAGAACCCAGGGATTAAATAGATTTGGAAATCCACTGGCTTGCCTGGATCTTCTGACAGCTCAGGCAGTGTGGAAAATGCTGTGTAAATGCAGGGCAGCTGGGGAGTGCCACCCACATGGGGCCACAACCAGGCATAGAAAGATGGCCTTGAACCACAGTGCTCTGAGAAGCTGAGCCCTAAGAAAGGCCATCCAGACTGTGGGCTGGGAGCAGTCCGCCCCTCTCCAGGTGTCTGTCAGCTGCTTTTCATCTGCTGTTGTCTGGTTCATAGTGTGGAGGATAGACCCCAGGGCCTTACACAGGCCGGGCAGGTGCTCTACCCAACCTGTTTGGCTGGTGGCCTGGGCAGGCCTCTAGGAGATCTGACATGTTGGAGGAGAAAACATTGGGGTGTATGCAATGGGGGCCAACAAGGGGTACCCTTAACCCAGCCACCCATCCCCCTTTGTGGTAGCAGTACTAAAACTACCCAGTGACTGTGTGACATTCCAGCGCCGGGGATAAAAATACTCAAAGGATAAATGCCCCTGGGAAGTGTTCCACATGCTCCTGAGTCCCCCAGCTCCCCTAGAAACCAAGACTCCACCCCCACCCCAGGGTCCCATTTCCAAAGCTTTAGACATGCTGTGAGGATGCAGCCACCTGAATGCACACACGTGACATTACCTGAATGTCCACACATGTCCCCTTGCTCCAGCATCTGGAAGGAGCCCCAGTGTGCACAAGTTGGTATTGCATGCAATGTACCTGTCTGTGCTTGCTTGGGCTCCAAACTGTGGCTCTGTGTGTGTGTGTGTGTGTGTGTGTGTGTGCGTTTGCGTGTGCGTGTGTGTGTGTGTGTGTGTGTCCATTTGCACTGCATTGTGACTTGCTTCCTTGCCATTTTAAGTGTGAGCTTGTATGGTGCATGGGTTTGTGTGGGTGTGGTGCATGTGTGATGGCTGCTCTTCTGTTTTGGTGGGGGAGAGGCTTCCAAAAGATGTGTGCATGCTTCTGCATACACGTCGTTCGGGCATCTGCTTGCATGTGACCCTGAGTGTGTCTCCTCGGGTATGTGTCTCGGCATGTGCACATGTATGCCTATGCCCACAGTCAAGGTGGCCCCAACACACCTGCTCTGGCAAGCCTGCCGCCCTGGCCCACATCCACATCCTTCCGGCAAGATGGCTGCGTCCTTCGTATCTCACAGGTGAGCTGGCCTCTGCTTTTCTCATACCTTGAATTACTCATGCTCACCTGAAGATTTCCAGAATTCGCACCTGTGTGCCTGTGCCCCCATACCCCTAGCTCAGTGTTTTGGAGCTTCCCACAAGAGCCAGCCTCCTGAGTCAAAGCACTTTTACTGAAAGCTGTATCTGACACACCTTCATGGAGATGATCATGAAAGGTCCTGAAAAGGTCTGAAGCGAAGAGACCAGGTTAAGTTAGCTTGGCGAGGGACTTCCAAGGATTATTTGATATTGGAGCCAGATCTGAAATGGTAACACCTTGGTGGACTGGGGAAATCTGCAGTGTCTTGGAGATGGCCCAGTGACCCATCCCTCCCCCCACCGTGAGGTTGTGTCCCGATGTCTGGTTGGCTAGTGCTGTGTAGACAGGCTCAGCTCAGCCATGGGGAACTCTAGCTCGGGAAGCTCCTCCTGGCACTCGGCATCTGGGACTTCAGGGAACCCTGACCATATTCTGGGGAGCCACACCAGGGGCACCATTCAGTACCCCAAGCCTCCAAGCGGCAGGGGAGTGACACCTCCTCCACTGGCCCTGGCCAAGCTGTCAGGGCAGATGATGCCCGGGCTCAAAGAGGAAGCGCCCTGGCTCGTTACTTCAAACCCAGAGCCGCATGTAGGAGGAAGACTGAAGCACCTTTCCCCAGGACTAGAAGCTCTGCCCCTCAGCATTGTACCTGCCTGGTCTAGACACTAGCCTACCTCAGTCCCAGGCCCCAGGCAGCCTCATGGTGGACAGGAGACCTCAAAACATCCCCTCGAGTAGGGCTGCGGTAGAGAGAGCTCATGCCTTCCTGCCAATCCACTCTTTTTTTTTTTCTTTTTTTTTTTTTTTTTTTTTTTTTTTTAAAGATTTATTTATTTATTATGTATACAGTGTTCTATCTACATATACACCTGCAGGCCAGAAGAGGGCACCAAATCTCATTACGGATGGTTGTGAGCCACCATGTGGTTGCTGGGAATTGAACTCAGGACCTCTGGAAGAACAGCCAGTGCTCTTAACCTCTGAGCCATCTCTCCAGCCCTTTTTTTTTTCTTTTGAGACAGGGTTTCTCTGTGTAGCACCTGGCTGTCCTGGAACTTGCTCTGTAGACCAGGCTGGCCTCGAACTCACAGATCTGCCTGCCTCTGCCTCCTGAGTGCTGACTAAAGGCTCACACCACCACTCCCAGCACCAGCCAGTTCACTCTTTTGTTTTGTTTTTGTTTTTGTTTTTCCAGACAGGGTTTCTCTGTGTAGCTTTGCGCCTTTCCTGGAACTCACTTTGTAGACCAGACTGGCCTCGAACTCACAGAGATCCACCTGCCTCTGCCTCCCAAGTGCTGGGATTAAAGGCGTGCGCCGCCGCCGCCGCCGCCGCCGCCGCCGCCGCCGCCGCCGCCGCCGCCACCACCACCACCACCACCCGGCTAAGCCAGTCCACTCTTAATCTGAACACTACTTCCAGAGAATAAGTGGGTTGAGATGGCTCCAGGTTCCCTCTTCTTCCTTAACAGTAAAAATAAATCCTGAAAATTATGCAGGACCATACAAACACGGGCTCTTGGACGCAAATCATACAACGAGTAGAAACGATTTACTTCATCCTCTCCACCTCTCACCTTAGTTCCCAGAGCATAATTTACCATGTTAATAATTCATTATATCTTCTTGGGCATGGTGGCACACACCTTTAATCCCAGCACTCAGGAGGTGGAGCAGATGAATCTCTGTGGATTTAAGGCCAGCCTGGTCTACAGAGTGAGCTGCAGGGCAGCCAGGGGTATGGAGAGAGACCCTGTTTAAAAAAAAAAAAAAAAAAACAGATTTCCCCCCCTCCCATGCTGTGCCACTAAACTTGAGTTTTGTTTTGTTTTTTAGATTTGTTTGTTTCAATTTTAAGGCAAGGTTTTGCCCTTGGGCTTGCTATGGAGCTCAGGCAGGCCCCCAACTTTCGAGTCCCTTGTGCCCCCTGCTCTCCTCAGTATCTGGGACTATAGGCATGCCCCACTTCGTTTACAGATTTTGTTTTCAAAATTTTTTAAGGGTGAGTGGGGAGATGGCTCAGCCATTAAAGGTGTTTGCCAACAATCGTTAGAGAACTGAATTCCGAATGCTGCCCTTTGACCTCCACATGGATGCTTTGGCACATAGCAGTACACGCGCACGCGCACGCACACACACACACACACACACACACACACACACACACACACACGTGCATGTGCAGAAATAAAATAAACTTACAAAAACCACTTGTTTTACACTTATTGGAGGTGTTGGACATCTACATGCCACAGGAACTGTGTAGAGGTCAGAGGACAAGCCATCTTACTAGGCCCTCCCCACCCCCACCCCATCCTTTTTTCCTTTTGAGACAGGATCTCATGTAGCCCAGACTGGCCTCGAACTCACTATGTAGCTGAAGACGACTCTGAATGCCTGATGCTCTTGCCTCCTCCTCCTGCAGCGGGGATTCCAGGTGTGCACAAGCATGTTCAGTTTATGTGGTGCTAGGAATGAAACCCAGGCCTCCAAACCCTCTAGCAGCTGGGCTACATCCCCAGCCCCGTTTACAGATTTAAATTTAAAAACACAGATACAATCATATTCTCCCTCTTTCCTCTGCTTGCTTAAAAAACAAATTAACAATCGGATCCACGTCAACGCGTCTCCGTCTACCCTACTTTCTTTTAAATCAGCGACTCGGTGTATTCCTTGTCTGCTTCATCCCTCCCTCCCCTGGTGAGAGACATGCTATTTCCTTTCCTTTTTTTCTTTTTCTCCTATTTCCGAATGCACAATGTTGCAACACGCGTCTTCCAGCAGGTGTTGGGAGTAGGGCTCTCGGGTGAAAGATGCATCCATCCCCAGCGCCCCGCAGGCAGGCAGGAGTCAGCGGGCAGTGAGAATCAGGAGGAGGCTGGGGACCACTGAGCGTCTCCGCCCGCGTCGCCCCCGCTTCGAGCAGCTCGGTGCTGCCGTTTTTAGCGCGCCTGGAGCGGGGAGTACAGACTCCATCACCCCCGGGAAACGCGACCATCATATTTTTGGTTGCATAAGCAAACGAAATTAGAAATCTGGAACGCGCTCAAGACCTTTGGAGGCGAGCGGTGGGGGGGGCGCGCGGGGGGGTGCAGGGCAGAGACAGACAGGGATTAGCCGTGTTGAGCGGCGGGAGGATGATTTCCTCTTTTAATTTGGGTTCCATGGGTTCAGTTACGTAATCGGTAGCGGCAAGCCGGCTGGAACCGGTGGCCTTGGTCCCCATCAGCTCACAGAGGACAGGTAGGGGTGTGGGGGTGGGGGGTGAAGGGGGTCCTGCAGGCGCACAGCACTGCACACACAGCAGGAGCGTGGTCGGGGGCCACAGGGCTCTGCACTCTTACTGCCCTGGTGGTTCCCCTTGCAAGACTGCACAGAATAACAAGCCATTGGAAGCCCCGAAAATGTGTGGCACTGGTGGCGTTGTGCGCGGAGAACCATCTAGTGAGCAATGAGGTAGTCATTGTAAGGCGTATTATAGAGCAGAAAAAAAGGAACAGGGTGGGGGAGGGGAGCGAGGACCAAAGGATGCACTAGACAAGAACGGACACAAAAGCCAGTTTGAAAGCAGCACGGGACACTTAGCTGTCACTGGTGTTAAAAGACAACACAAAGATGCCTGCCCAGCATCTCTCCCTTCCAGGAGAGACCCAGAAAAGCACACCCAGGGAGGTCCTCTGCAGCACCTTTGGAACCCCAGGCAAGGCCTAAAAGGGAGGTCAGGAGGGACTTCAGGTTGTGCTCGTGTGTGTGTGTGTGTGTGTGTGTGTGTGTGTGTGTGTGTGTGTGTGTGTGTGTGTGTTACCAGGTCAAACACAGCATCATCATGCATGCCACCGATCTGCTGCCGACTTCTGGTCCCTGCCCCTCCTACTTCTGGACAACATACGTGATTTTCTCACCTTGTACTCCGTGCACTCCTGTCCATAAGAAGCAAAGGCCGAAAGAGAGGGAAGTTTGAGGGGCAGCCTGGGGCTAGACAGCAGGACTAGCACCTTCTGAAAACAAATAGGAATTATGGAGGGATGGCCTGGAGGGTGGTGGAGAATAGGCCGCCCAACTACCCTACCCAGATAAGGAAACGGAATCCCCTCGAGGAGAGGGGTTTGTCCCAGCACCACACATCCGTGAGCTTCAGGCAGAAGGACACGGGCTGGGATTTGTTGTCCAGGGTTCTTCTGCCATCAGGTCACTCTGTCCTGCTAGTCTTCAAAGTGCTGGGGTCACGGTGATGCTGGAGAGGCAGGAGGGGAGAATTATGATTTCATGGATAGGATGGGGGGAACAACTTGGAAATCTATCAGCTGTCCCTACCAAACCTATGTTGTGAGCTCCGGATGGGTTCAAAGAGGGTCTGCAAATTCTTTAATACCTGTCCAAAGTGGCATCTCTGTCCCTCTCTGTAGTCAGATTTCTCTTTGGGCTGCCAGCTCACAAATAACGTCATGGAGACTTCTTATTTATGAAAGCTTGGCCTATAGCTTAGGCTTGTTCCTAACTAGCTTTTATAACTTAAATGAACCTGTTTCTATTAATGTACTTTTACCATGTGGCTTTTTACCTTTCTTTCATTCTGTATGTCCGGCTCCCTCCATATCTTGTTGGTGTCTCCTCTGCACCTCAATTATCTCCTCCTGCTTCCTCTCTCTCTCTGGAAGTCCCACCTATACCTCCTGCCCAGCGATTGACCATAGAGCTCTTTATTAAACCAATCCCAGTAATATATCTTCACACAGTGTACAAATACCCCACAACACCTCTCCCTTTGAATCGGGACTGACCTTAGGAACTCAGCTGTCACCCTTTGAATGCAGAGGAGTGATACTGCCTGGCTTCTGGGACTAGATGAAACCGTGTCAGTCGAGGTGGTGGTGGTGCAGGCCTTTAATCCCAGCACTCAGGAGGCAGAGGCCAACCTGGTCTACAGAGTGAATTCCAGGACTGCCAGGACTACACAGAAAAACCATGTCTCAAAAAAAAACAAAAAAACAAAAAAACAAAAAAAACGACACCATGTCCCAAAGCTTCCTTCCAGCTATTGTAGGAGATCCACTGGAGTTGGGGACAGGCTTTGTAAGAAGTCCAAAGTGCTCTGAGATTGCCTGGACAGGGGCCACTCACAGCACTCCAGTACAAGCCCAGCTGACTCTAGCCACGTTACACTCAGGGTTATGGCAGCCCATACTAGATCCCACGTGCCTGGCTCTCCCAAAATTCCAGATCTACAAGACCACCAACAAAGCGAGGTAGTACACTTAAGACACTAAATGGAGTGATTTCACGGAGCCAGAGTATTTGTGCAGAGGGTACGGCCAAGAGTAAGCACGGTCTCAGAGACCCCAATAAACTAATAATTTAATGGAGAAGCCAGACAGAGAGCAAATAATTATAAAATAACATGGCAAGCTCAACAAGGAAGTCACACCCAGGTAATAGGGGAGCAGGCTGAAGAGTCTGTAATCTAGGCTGGGTGGGTGGCTTTCCTGGAACAGGTGACCTTGAACTGGCTTTGAAAGGTAAGGGTTTACCCGAGGGAAATGGATCTGGGTGGGAGGAGTAAGGAGAGAGGTGTAGAATGATAGCAGTGGAGAGGAGCTTTATGGAAGCTGGAGAAGAGGCTGGGTAGATAGCAGGACCCCAAATCATGGGAACCTTGAGTGCCCGCCAAGAGCTTAGATCGACAGCCGACTGAGAGGCATCAGTACAGACAGGAGATGGACCCTCCTGGGAGCAGCAGGAAGATGTGTGTATGAGAGGAGTGGGGGGATGTGGGGGTGGGGTGTGGCAGGAGGGTGAACCTGTGCAGAGTAGAAACCCAAAGGGATTGTGTGTTCCCAAACAGGGGCTGGGAGGGACGAGGTGCGAAGACCATTTAGGGAACTGTCAAGTGTGGGTGTCACGGACAGCGTTCAGCCTAGGGTTTCTTTCTCAGATGAGTAGGGTTGCTGGGGCCACCAGCCATGTGAAGTGGAAAGCCTTGAAGAAGAAGCCAGTGTAAGTCCAGGTGGGGCAAGCTGGCAGCTGCAGCATCAAGGTGGTCCAGGAGGAAGCATCCCAGTACCATGATGAGAGGGAGGTGGCGGCATCTCGGGCAGGCACGTGGGGAAGAGCTGTGTGAACAGCAGCCACTCCTTAAAGCGTGCCAATGAATGAATGGTGGGGTGACTTCGTGAGTGTAGGTGGCTGTTGAGATCATCTGGGTAGATGAAGCAGTTGGGGATGTGGGACAGGCCCTGGGGCAGACTCTGGGAGGTTCGGGTGGGAGCCAAGAGTGATGATGAAAGGCCTGGTGACTCCAGGTCTCAGTTTCCTGGGGTGTGTCCCCACAGGTGAGCCACAAGAAAGCACAGGAACAAAACAGAGACATCCAGAGAGTCAGATGTGAGACAGCACAGTGACTTCCATGTGCCGACGACACAATGTCACTCGTGAATCCTTGTCACCGACTCTGTGCCAGGCCCTGTGCTTGATGCTGGAGATATCCTGATGGGTAAAGTGAACACCGCCTGTGTGGAGCTTAAATTAGAGTCCTGTGGAGTTTTGCCATCTTACCACAACTCAGAAAGATGAACCTAGCCAAGGTTGTCCAGCAGGGGCGGATTTTCTGTCTGACTCGGGTACACAGCACTGCAAAGGGCCAAGGGCTGCCTGATCCTGGGCCCCATGTTTGTGTGGACCCTGAGAAACATCCAGTAAACTCAGGTTAGGCCACACTTCCACTTCAAGGGACCTGGGCTCCACTGGGACTTCAGAGGGGAATAGGGTCCTTGTTATCAAGACGTGTATGTCAAGGCTGGGCTGGGATTCGGCAAGATGAACAACTTAATGTCTCCTCTTCATTGTGACTGTTGGATACCCCCCACCCTCCACCAAGCAACTTCAACTCACAGGGAAATGCCTTCCAGGCTATAGCTCAGCTGGATGTTGTGGCAGCCTGCCCGTTACCAGCCCATTGTACACATGGGAACACTGAGGCCAGGTGGGTTGGTTATCTACCTGAACTCTAACTGCCAAGGAAGATGCAGAGCTGCAGACGGGGCCCACTGAACTCCAGAGCTTGAGGGCTGCCACCAGAGTGGGTACAGGGACAATGTGAGTCTGAGCCTGTGGGCGGGCGGGGACTCAGAGCCCAGCTCTGGGCAACTGGGGAGTGTCACAGGCCTGTGGTCAGAACAGGCATAAGCCATACTTCCTCCTCAGCATCCCCCAGGGCCCAGATGTCTCCTGCCTAGGACTTAGGACCCTTCTTATAACTCTTGGCTTCACCCCCAAAACAGGAAGCCCTTAAGCTCGGCGTGCCCAATCCTTTTACCTTGCACACTAGGAAACTGAGGCACAGAGAGAGCTTAGCTGTCCAACTCCTCCCTTTCCAAGTCAGTGACAGACTCTAGGTTAGATGACAGATGATGGAGATCTACTTCCCTAAAGACAGGGCATGACCTCATTACTCTCCCTCACACACACATACATACACACACACACACACACACACACACTTCACATGCACATACCATACACAAACACATATACATACATACATACATGTCTATACACATATACCACATACAGATACCATATGTGCATGCACATCACACATGCACACGTTACACATAAACTATACACAGACACACAGTACAAAGCAGCTAAAACCAATAACCATCCTGGCCACTGCAGGGGAGCAGTGTTGGCATACTAGGCATTGGTAGGGACCATGACAAGGTGATAGGTGAGTGGCTACCTAAGGAGGTGGCCATGCCTGACTGCAGCTTGCAGAAGCCTCTAGATCAGTGGTTCTCAACCTTCCTAGGTCTGCGACCCCTTAATACAGTTCCTCACGTTGTGGTGAACCCCAACCATAAAATTATTTTGTTGCCACATCATAACTATAACTTTGCTACTGTTATGAATTGTAATGTAAATATCTGATATGCCACCCCCATGGGGGTCACGGCCCACAGATTGAGAACCACTGCTCTACAGGGAAAGCTTACCTAGAGGACACCAGCTGCACAGCATGACGCCTAATTGGAACAGTGGCCGGTCCACACCTTTCTGTCTCAAACTAATAGTTTCGCTTTGTTTCAAAGACACAGCTGTAGACACCAGGTGAGGTGGCTCACAACTCTAATCCTAGCACTTGAGAGGTAGAGAGAGGCAGGAAGACCAAGAGTTTAAAGTCACTTTTAGCTGTGTAGACAGTTTTAGACCAGCCTGAGCTATATAAGACCATTTCTAGATATGTAAATCAATAAGATCAAGTCACAGTGTGGGAAGATGGCTGGGCAAGGCATCCCTTTGTTCTGAGATGCTTTGTCTGGCAGGCCCCTGTGGAAGAGACTAAGGAGGTTGTCTGTGAATTCTAAGGGACCCTAATCGTGTCTGTGCCTCTTCCTGTAAACTTCAGACTTCACAAGCTGGCCAGCACCTTCAGAAATCCTGATGTCCCGGCTGCACCAGGCTCATTAAGCCTGGGCAGGAGCTAAGCACTAGCCTCCCTAAGAGAGCCACACAGGTAATTCCTAGGCACAGAAGAGCACCGACGACGTCACATCTTGGGGCAGCTGGTTAGAAATGCAAGCTCTCCACTCACCAGAGACTGACTGAATCAGAATCCCCAGGGTGGGGCCGAGCTGGGGTTTTGACCGCCCTCTAGGAGGTTGTGAGGCTGGTACGGTTTGAGCAACCGTCTTTGACCCAGGAGGTATGATGCCAGGGACTCCAGACATCTGACCAGAGGTGTGTAATAAGAGACATTCAACTCTGATACTTCTTGAAATAAAAATTAAAAATCTTACTCCAGCCTATTCATTACAGAATCAAGAAGCAAAAAATACAAGTTGGGCCATTTTCACTTCTTCAGTTGAAAGCCCTCATCCCTTGAATTCAGTGCTGTGAAACATAAACTCAGCCCCACCCCCACCCCCTCTCTCCTTTTCCTTGGGACAAGGTCCCAGTGTCCTCCCCTCTCCTCCAGGCACAGACACAGGCAGCTCTTCTCACCTCTGAGTGCTCCATGGTGGAGGTGAAGGAAACCCACCCAGCTTCTACTGCCCAGGCTGCCCTTGTCTCCTGGGCTCAAGCTCAGCCCTGATCTGAGAATGCAAATATGGCCACCGTGATCCCCCTCCACCCCCGACCCCACCAACCTTCCCCATTATTTCCTTTCTTCTTCTCCCTCTCCTTCCCCTCTCCTTGGTCTTTTGAGACAGGGTCTTGCTCTGTAGGCCTGCCAAGCCTCGAACTCACTGTGTAGCTCAGGCTGGCCTGAAGCTCATGGCAATCCTCCTGTCTTCGGTGTTGGGATTACAGCTATCTACCTCCACATCCAGTTTTAGGCTCTCCTTTCAGTCTGGGGCCTCGAATCCCATCACACCAGGCTAGCCCTCGGCAGGTGCTCATTAAGCAAGCGTCTACTTCCTTCCCTCCCTTTCCTCCTAGACCGTCTAGAGCAATGGCTGCTACTGTTTTGGTTTGTATTAAGGCTAGCCTCATTGGCCAGCTGTCATTGACCAGCCACCCTGTATGGGAGTGGTCTGCTGTCAGGGATTTTGAATTATTGTGGCTCGTCCTCGGACAGCCTATTGTGCCACAGCCAGAGATATAAAGGGCAGTGCGTAAAGTCACGCTGCTGATTTAGTGCATCTTGGTTGATGTGGTCTGTCCTGTCTCCTTGGTTCTAGAATTCATCTTTTACTTACCAAGAGATTTTTTTTTTTTATGTAAGTGAAAAAGTAATAGCAGTTCTCATATGTGTACACGTCAACTAAAAGATGTCTCTGTCTTTTAGACATGGGAAGGATGAGGAGATGGCTAGATGACTGCTACACAAATCCAGCAACCCGAGTTCGATCCCCGGGACCCATATAAAGTGGGAAGGAGATAACAAGCTGCATGGTTACCTTTCGCCTTCCTCATGCACGCTGAGACTTTTTATTATTTTATGTGTATGAGTGTTTATGTGTTGTATGTCTTGGTACCATGTGCATGCCTGATGCCTTTAGAAGAAGGTGTCTAATCCCCTGGAATTGGAGTTATATGAGGAACTGAACCTGGGTCCCTGAGAAGAGCAGCCATTGCTCTTAACCACTGAGTCAACTCTCCAGTTCCTAAAATGTTTCTTAAAGACAGAAATGTGAAGTCTGTGCTAGAGAAATAAGGAAACTGGGTTCTCCTACAGGTCAAGATGAACGGCAATATGGGAAAACAAAACAAAACAAACAAACAAAAAACACCACAGCGAATGATATTCATGGGTTATGGTTTATCTTTTGTTCTTTTGGGTTTCTTGTCTTAGGTCTAAAATGGAGCCTGTGTGACAGTTAAATTGTATATATATTATGGCACAGCTTGGGAAGCTGAAATAGAAGGATCAGGAGTTCAAGGTCATATTCAGCCACAAAGCTGAATTCTAAACCGGTCTGAGAGCTACTTGAGAGCATTAAAAAAAAAAAAAAAAAAAAAAAAAGATGTCAGGTAGGGTAACTCCAGTTTGTAATCCCAGGGCTGGAGAGGAAGAGGCAGGCGGATCCCTGGGGCTTGCTAAACAGTGGCAGGCCAGTGAGAGACCCTGCCTCAAAACTCACTGTGGTGGTATGCATATAAATGTATTGTTATCGAAGAGCAATTTAACCATATCCACAAACATCCAAATTGCATTTGTCATACAGCAAGACCCTATTTGGAAACAAACAAGCAAGTAAATAAGAAAATTTACAGAGGGAAAGAAATTCCACCAGCTCCTCAGAGAGACTCTCAGAAGAGACAGTGCCTTGGGAAACCTGCTTTACAGTGGTCCCAGCTCCTAAGCGTGGAATTTAGTCTCTGTGGAATCTAGACTAAGTAAAGCCACAGTTCCAGAGCTTGCTAAATGGAAAATCATGATCCTGTCTACCCAGCCTGGCTCCTGTTTAGTTAAATCAAAGACAAAGCTGGGCGTGGAGGCAGAGGTGGGCAGATCTCTGTGAGTTCGAGGCCAGCCTAGTCTACAAAGGGAATACCAGGATAGCTAGAGCTGTTACAAGAGAAACTCTGTCTTAAAAAACAAACAAAACAAAAAAATCAAATGCAAGGATTATGGAAAGGACAAGTGAGTTGAAATCCTAACCACCTTAGGCTTTCCTGGAGAGGGTGTTTTGGAGACACCTCCCTATACACACTCCTCAATCCCAAACACAAAGCTTTAAAGCATATATTTGCCATGCTTGTCCAGGGGCCAGTGGACACCCTCTGCCTCCTACAGGCTCTTTTCTTATTGCTGGCAGGACCCCATGCCTCAGATGGTGGCCAAATCTCAGATCGATCCACTGGGACCTGAGAAGGCCTCTGTGGGCAGATCCAGCTAGTCAGAACACATATACTTGATACCACCTGCCTGGTGCCACCTAGGGTCACCCATAGGGCCCCAGCTTCCCACCATTAAACCCTTAGAAGAAATCAGTCCACAGAAAGGTTCCCAATAGAAATGCAAAGGTGTTATTTCAGCAAGGTCAATGCTAACATTTAGAAGGGAAACTGCAAGCCACATGGGCCTCTTTTGACCTTCTCGGGCTTTTTTTGCCATCTGATTCACCATAATCCATCTTGTTCCAGCAGGCTGCTGCTTGGCTGCGGCAGGACAGCCTAGGCCCCTGAGGGATCCTCACAAAATCCAGAAAGCCTCAGACTTCAGCACCAGAGCTTCCAGCTGAATCTTGAGTCAGAGAGAGCTCCTTGCCCAGATTGTCGGCACGGGGAGATTTTACAACTCCCATTCATGGGGAGAGGATTCCCTAGTAAGAGCCAATGGCTTTCCACGGCATTTTCTACATCCCCTGTCTGTGCTGGACATGATCCGCCAGGGGCTTAAGGGCACCTACGTCATTTAATTCCCTTAACAGAGCCAGATGTGGTGGAGGATGTCTATAATCCCAGCATTCAGGAGGCCGAGGCAGGAGGATTGAAATTTTAATGCCGGTCTGGGCTAGAGAGTGAGTTCCAGGCCAATCCACGTTATGTAATGAGACCCTTTTTCAAAAAACACAAAATAGGGGCTGGAGAGATGGCTCAGTGGTTAAGAGCGCTGGCTATTCTTCCAGAGGTCCTGAGTTCAATCCCAGCACCCACATGGTGGCTCACAACCATCTGTAATGAGATCTGGCACCCTCTTCTGGCCTGTAGGTATACATGTAGACAGAATACTGTATACATAATAAATAAATAAATTTAAAAAAAAAAAAAAAAAAAAAAAAACACAAAATAATACACACCCTCCCAACTGCTCGTGTAAAGGGCATCCTGTCCCCATTTACAGACGACTAAACTGAGGTCTGGCTAAGCCACCTCACAGGGCTTACCCTATCCTTGTGGACAATCTGTACCCTCATTTCTTCCTCCCTACTTTCCAGGCTTGCTGTGCCAAAGAGATTCAAAGGCCTGTATGAGGCTCTCCATTTGGTACCCTGAGGCTTCTTGGTCATCCTGGATTTTCTCACTGGGGTCTGAGTCTCCAGGGGGTCCCAGGCCAGGACTCTGAGCTCTGGCAGCCTCACTGGGTCCCTTTTCACTGGTCTTTTGTTCCTCTATCGGGAGGGGAAGAGGATGAAGCTGACCTTCATACCAGCCTCCCTTCTTGGAGGCTGGAAGCCTCGTGCTCTCAAGAGGAGGGCTAGCATTCCTTGGGATTGTCTGTTACCAAAACACAGTGTTAAAGTACAGAAAGTTTGGAAAACGGAACAAAGGTATTTGTCACAGTGCCAGGGGCCAGTACTGGTGCTGACCACTGCTGCCAATAGCAAAGAAGGTGTTGCCCTCGCTGATGTACGGGCAGATGCCTTGGTGAGTTGTCTGGTCTTCATACATTGCCCTTCGTTCTTTTTGGCTTGTTTGGAACCTCTGGAAGGGCGAAAAATAAAGCCTTCATACAAACGGCAGGAAAGCCTTGCTTCATGAAAGAATTACAGGCAGAGGTGGGTCATGGTTGAGCCAGATGCTGTCAGGTTGTAGACACACCCAGGACAGCCTGAGAGCCACACAGCCCATCACCCCACAACCATTCCTAGCATCCCTGGTGTGAGTTCAGCCCTCATCCCATGTCACTGGACTTTGTTGACCTTCAACAGAGACGCAAAGGTGGAGCAGGAGGAGGCCAGGCCCAGCACAGCAGGTCTTCCAGGGTCCCAGTCTCCTCCCAGCCTGAAGGGGTAGCCTAGCTCACAAGATGGAAGAGCTGGAGTCCTCCCTTCTGCCCTCTGGGAAGTTAAGAGGAAGGTAGCCTTGAAGCCAGAAGATGGCCGAGAAAACAGGAAGGCTGGGGGTGGACCCAGGAAGGCCATAGTCTTCAGCTGGGAGCACACAGCTTTGCCATTTACCAGCAAAGGTCATGAAGTTTCTTCCTGGAGACTTCTAAGAACAGGGGCATAGGGGGAGGGGAGATTTTATGCACTATGTCAAGGGCCACCTAGCCACAGAGGGAAGGAACAGGAGCCTTTTAAGTGAGCAAGGACCAAAGAGGCCCCTGTGGCTTGAAGGACAAAAGAGGGTGTGGCTTGAAGTCTGTGATGGAGGTGACCTGGTAGACTTTGACCAGGACACTGGCTTTCCTTACTGGCCAATAGTTTTTGGAGCTTCTGTAGGCAGTCAGGGGGAGGGGTAGGCTCTGTGATTCTCCCTTGGCCGAAGCCCTACTTAGGTCTGGGAGTTGGGGGCCAGGTAGACAGCAGGATTACTCTACAAAGGTATTCTAGTATCCGTTCTTTAAAACTAATAGATTCCAGACTGTGGGGCCAAACCAGACTGAGGAAGCCACAGGGTAGGACCTTGAACCCCACCCCCAACCCCTGCCACCCAATTTTGAATCTAGACCATGGGCAAGCAGGAGAGTTATGGGTGCATTTCAGAGTCTTCCACTGCAAAATGAGGCTTAGCATCAATAATAAGAAATACAAATAAATAAATAAACAGGCCAGGGATAGCAGCACACACCCTCAACCCCAGCACTTTGGAGGCCGAGACAGGGAGATTTCAGGTTCAAGGTCAACTTGAGCTGTCTAGTGTCTTAAAGAAACCCAAATCCCAAATCACTACAAATAACAAAACTCAAAGCACAAAAGGTACCCCATTTCTCCTGTTTCCTTCCCTAGAGTTGCTGTGAGGATTCCGAGAGCCCAGAGGGCCCGATCACAGCGAATGTGCTCCACCAGGGAGCTCCTCCTTCTGCAGGGATTCTCAGAATGACTTGCACACTCCAACTGCCAAACCACCAATTCCTCTCCACCCCCTGCCAAGCAGGTCTGCCCCTTCCACAAGATCCAGATCCAGCAGATCCAGGTGACAGGATCCCACCAACCATACTCAAAGGGGTCCTGAACAGGTCTCCACCCGCCTCACTGCACTCCCCCCTGCCCCAGACCAGCGAGTGCAGACGTAGCCCCCTGTCTCATGTTGTGAGTGGCGGTTGCTGGGATGCAGTGTGGGGTTTTGTCTGCCTTCCCTGCCCTGTGCCAACTCACCCAGCAGGCCTCACTGCCTTGGCAACGCATTGCAAAGTCCACACAAAGGGAAACTGCACAGGGGAGGTTGGTCCTGCCTGACGCCTGGGGAGGGTTTCCATGGCAACGATGACATCACTAGACTCGTTTGGCTAACAGAGTCAGGCCCTGAATGGAGGCGCCTGGGTGTTTCACACTGCAGAGATGTGGAGAAAGGCAATCCAGGGACTTTGCCATGATGCTGGAATAGGTGGGCCTGTCCAGAATTCCAAACCCAGCCCTGCCCTTGCCTGGCCGCGAGAGCCTGTCAGCCTCCCCACCTACAAAGGGAGCTTACAGCCCATTTAGGCAAGGGTGGATTAAAGCCACGCATAGTATGCAGGCGCCCAGGGGAGGGGGAAGGAGGGAGGGGGACGCATTGTGACGTTTTCCTGTGCTGGCAACTTTAAATGATTTCCAGGGAAATGTGGGAGCAGCCTGGGCTCTTTGATGACTGGGCTTCTCGGTGGTCTATCCCTTGGTGAGCCTGGGCTTGGGTGGGGAGAAGTCACAATTATCCATGGACTACTCCTGGCCTCTACCCAGGAGGAAGGGGTAGAATGTGGTGTAGTGTCAAAGATGGAAGACTTTAGGGGCTGGATGGTGGCTCAGAGCTTTCCTAGTTTTTCACCTTTGGTTCTAAGATGATGATTCCAGACCCAGAGGGAAGGTGTGCCAGGCCCAAGCGCGTCCCTTACACTACAAGGGGATGAGAGTGTAGACAGGGGGTAGGTAGCCTGTGGCCTCTGGGTGGGCCCCTGGGTGGAGCCGCCTCTGCTCTCTACACAGTGGGTGAAACCCTGAGTCTTCTGCAGGAAATAAATAGTCAGAGGCACAAGGCTAGAGGGGTGGGACTTTCTGAGGTCAGCAAGTCTGGAGACTGCCCGAGGTGCATGCCAGGCAAAGGGAGCAGAAAAGTCAGGCAGGCTTCCTCTTCACATGTATTTTCGGAAGGTTCCCTAGGCCAGATGCCATCCCAAACTCTGACTAGGGTCCCCGTCCCTCCCTACCCCCAGTACACACGGTGGGGAGGGCCCCCAAGTCCTTAGTCATACAGCTGGGGCCAATGCTAGACGGATTCAAATGCCCACTGAGCTCTCGCTGACCAGCTCACTCCTGCCACTGGATTTTGTCCCTTAGGCCTGTCCTCCTAGGGGCTGGGACCTCCTCAAATTGTCCATCTGCAAGGAGATTGGTCGCTGCCTTTCTGTTTATTTTATTTAGTGCTCAGGGTGGCCTTGAACTCACTATGGAGCCAAGGATAGTGACCTCGAACTCCTGACCTCTGGAGTACTGGATTTCAGCTGTGAGCCACCAAGCCTAGTTTATGCAGCGCTAGGAATCAAACCCAGGCTTCATGCATACTAGGAAAGCACTCTACCAACTGAGCTCTAGACAGGGCCTGGGCTCGACCCCCTTTCTGCCATTCTACTCAATTTCCACCCAGAGCCACACCCTCCAGATGCTCACCTCCCCCTCATCAGTTCCTGCTGGGGGAGAGGACACCCGGGGTTGCAGGCAGCCATTTTGCTCTAGAACACTCCACTCCAACACATATATTCAGAAGGTTGTAGACCACTGTCCTGTCTCCCTTCCACCCCGACCCACACGGGAGCCCCTTCTTTTACCTCCAGGGTAAGGAAAGACACCTGCTCTCTAGGCCCCCACAGCTCCGTTGGTCACCTTCTAGGCCCCTGCTAGGCAAGGACATGTACCTAGATATGGTACTGCCCTGGTCCCTCAGCCTTTGCCCTTCTTGGCCCACGGACACCTCTGGCTCAGCTGGCATTGTTTGGTTTCAAACCGGTTCTATGAAGGTGGCTCCAGTCCAGTGTCCTGGAGGTGGCAGAGTCACCCATCGGGTGCCCTGGAGGAAACAGGCATCGGAGGACAGTAAAACTAGAAGCCTCATGGGAAGGAATGTCCCTTCTGAGACAGAGGCCCAAGGACCCCAGAAACAGGCTTGGGGCACCTGAGACACACTCTCTTTCTCTCAGCAAAAGGGAGTGTTGGCTGCTGCCCGGAACGGATTGAACCCATGAAAAGATGGTGGTCAGCCGTGGGCCTTGGAGGCCAACCACACTCTTTACCTTTGCCTCAGAGATGGAGGAACTGGGTCAAAGGTGACAGGAGGAGGCTCCCCACTCATTAATGTAATGGACCTTGTGTCTCCACCCTCAGACAGGTGGCTCCAGGTGTATGGGGCCTGGTATCCCTCACCATGAACCCATCTGGGGAAGAGCCCAGCATATCTCACTCACCCAGGCCATCTGTGCTGGCCTTAACAGGCACCTGGAGCTGGTTAAAAGGCACGGGGTGGGGGCGGGGTGGAGTTCAATTCCTAGTTCTTCGGCTTGAGTGAGCTTACCCCGTGCTGATTTGCATAACAAGGTTTCACATGGCAACCAAATCAGCCTGCAGGAGAGCGAAGGCCAGGCTGTGGCCTGCTGTGGGCAGCTGTCCTTGGCTCAACCTCCGTGTGGCCCTGGATCCACCTCCCACTGGCCTTTGAAAATTCTTCAGTAAAGCCACCACCAGGGGCCCCCACGGTGGAAGGTGAACACACCCTACCTCTCGTGGAGAATCCTGGGTCACCTGCTCCTCTGAGGCTGACAGAGAATCACAGAGAGCCGCGGGCAGAGCTTCCGAGGGCCCACTGTGTGCCAGGCCCCACCCAAGGCTCCTTCACACACATTAAGGCATTGCTTCTTCATGAGACCTTCTGAGGAAGGTAGTATTGTAGTGAGGGAACCAAGAAGGAAAGTGAGTCACAGCTAGGTCTCTGACGGGGCCAGAGGTGACCCAGGCCTAGCTGATGAGCATCGTCTTCCCAGGTGCCTCAGGGCTCGTTGTCAGGGATGGGGAGATCAACACCTCCATCTCTAAATCTCAAGGTGCCAGGGACAAGGTCCCCTGCTCACATGGCAGGGCAAGCCTCTCTCCCTTTCATCTCACTGTAGCACTGGCACCAACTGACGCTGGGCAGGTAGGTACACGGTGACAGGACATATCTACCAGAGAAATGGCCACTTGATAGCAGCCAGCAATTCATGGAGCATGGAAACCCTCTCTAGGTCCCGATAGGCTGCTTGCTCTCCAAGTGGCTGTCATGTCAAGAAAAGCCATTCCACGCCTAGTATGGTGGTACACGCCTGTAATCTCAGCACTGGAGAGGAGAGGCGGTGGTGATATATTGTGCACCCTAATAAACTTGCCTGAGGATCAGAGGACAGAGCCAGCTACTAGATTAGATAGATATAGAGGTCAGGCAGTGGTGGCACACACCCTTAATCCTATCACTCGGGAGGTAGAGATCCGTCTGGATCTCTATGAATTCAAGGCCACACTGGAAACAGAGCCAGGCAGTGGTGGCACACAACTTTACTCCCAGTACTGGGAAGCACGTATGCCTTTAATCCCAGGAAGTGATGTCTAGGCAGAGAAAGGTATATAAGGTGTGAGGAAACAGGAACTCACTCTCTTTAAGCTGAGGATTTCGTAGAGATAAGAACTAGTGGCTGGCTCTTCTGCTTCTCTGATCTTTCAGCTTTTACCCTGATATCTGGCTTTGGGTTTTTTATTAAAAGACCATCTGCCAGGCAGCAGTGGTGCACGCCTTTAATCCCAGCACTCGGAAGGCAGAGGCAGGTGGATCGCAGTGAGTTCAAGGCCAGCCTGGTCTACAGAGCGAGATCCAGGACAGGAACCAAAACTACACAGAGAAACCCTGTCTCAAAAAACCGAAAAAAAAAAAAAAAAAAAAAAAAAAAAAGAAAGAAAGAAAGAAGAAAAAAGAGGAGAGAGGGAGGAAGAGGAGGTGGGAGGGATGTAACTCAGTTCATAGAGTGCTTGTCTAGCTACATGAAGCCCTGGGTTCAGTTCTCAGCGCCAACCCACGCCACACCCCGAGGAGGTGGAGGCAGGAGGTTCAAAAAATTAATTCAGGGTCATCCTCAGCTACAGGTTCCAGGACAGACAGGGCTGCATGACATCCTGTCTCAAAAAAACGGGAGTGGGGCCAGAGAGATGGTTCAGCAGGTAAATGCTTGCCATGTAAGCCTGGTGACCTGAGATTTATGCCCTAAATCCACATAAAGGTGGAAGGAGAGATCTGACTCCACAAAGTTGTCCTCTGACCTCCACACATGTGTCCCGATACTCATGTGTGCATGAGCACACATGCACCAACACCCACACACAATATGTATATATATATATGATTTCTCAAGACAGGGTTTCTCTGTGTAACCCTGGCTTTCCGGGAACTCACTCTGTAGCCCAGGCTGGCCTCGAACTGGGAGATCTGCCTGCCTCTGCCTCCTTCGTGCTGGTTTTAAAGGCGTGCACTACCACTACCACCCAGCCAGCCACAAATATATTTCTTAAAAAGAAATTTGGGTTTTGTGTCCAGACATGTCTCTGGGGCTGACCAGCTGTGACACTTGGCACAAGTCCCCCATATTGTCTTCCCTTGTCTACTAGAGGATGTCCTGCCTATTAGGAAATTGTGTGGGAGGTGATGAGGCCCTGGGACACAGAGCAGAGGGAGAGGCTGCTCTTGCTTGGCACATGGCCGAAGCCCAGGCCCCACCCAGAAACATTGGCTGTTTGAGAGGCAGAACTTCTCTCCAACATCAAGGGAAGCCCTGGTCCTGCCCTAGACTGCTCAATTTCTGGCTCAGCCACATTTAGTAGGCCTGAATGACTCAGAAGTGACCTCACAACCCTCTGCCTCAGTTGTGCCTCCTGTAAAATGGGCATAGCAGCTCTCGGCGAAGAAATCACACAAGGAAAGGCCTTTGGTGCTTGTGGTCTGTCATTAAGTGGGCGGACGTCCTTGCTCTTCCTCACCTGGCTAAGAAGGCATTGACAGGGAGAGATCTGGGGAGGAATAGGGTCAGAAATGCTGGTGGCTCACACCTGTAACCCCAACACTCAGGAGACCGAGGCACGAGGACTACCAGCAGTTCAAGGGCAGCCTGGGTTACTTACTGAGATTGTCTCAAAGAAAAGAAAAAAAAGGCTGGTGAGATGACTTATGGGAAAAAGTGC